AAAAAAAAAAAAAAAAAAAAAAAAAAACAAATATAATAAATTTACTATAACAAGTACCTGCCTAATAGTCGGTCGGTTTCAATGATAATTTTAAGCGTTTTGAATTACTTATTACTTACAAAAATATGTAAAGTAACACTGTTCTATTTTTTATTGGCCCATATACATTATATTATAAGCGTATAGTTACGTAATGCAATACGATTACAATATTTCACTCTTTTGCGTATGCAATTGATGGCTCTTACTTAACATATTATAACACGACGGATCCCAAACGGACGGCCAGAAGTGTTGGGATTGAAAAAAATGGGCTGCATCCGAGTTCCGTCCCTTTATGGAAAACACATGTTATGTGAACTATGTAAATATTAGCAATCGGAAGCTGAAAATCTGGATTTCTGCGCGTGGCGATCGCGCGTGCGTTCGGTTTGAATTAATTCGCTCAGGGATTATTTTTTTAGTCCCGCGGATCCAGTCGACCGGTCGCATTTGTGTACCCCGAACCCACCTCAGTTCCCGGTTCGGAATATTAACGATGACCGATGTGTTCCGGAAATATTTTGTTTCGGTTCTTTTTGTCCGCGCTCGTTAGAATTTCAATATTCGCCGTCTTGTATCCTATATTATATTAACGAATTTTTTTTTTTTTTTTTATTATATATATATGATATAATATCACGCGTCTAACATTGTGACATTATTATTGTTACTATTATCATTTTTTTTTTCCTTTCTGCGTATATTAGGTACCATGTAATAATGACTACGTGTTGTGCGCGTTCGTTGTTACGATATCAAATTATTTTTACACATCGTTATCGACACACGCGAGAAATGACATAACAGACAGTATTACGGACGGTGTATATTTAATATTGTCATAATATTAGTGATGTAAATGTTCAAAAACCGTTGAAAATGTTTAATTTCAAAAAAAATAATAAAAATGACTAAAATATGTTTGACCTGTTTTTTTTTCTACTAAAAACTATCGTCGCCGCTATGCAAAAAGTGACCAATAATTGTCAAAAGTGACTAAATAATACGACGCTAGAAAAAAACGATCTACCTACTGAAAATGTAAAATATAAACCGAGTTACGGCCATAATTGGTTGTTGTATTTTAAGATTAAACATTTTTTTTTAAATTTTTTAGTTCGTGGGTTTTTCAGTTTTTACATTTTTCCAAGTTAAAAATTGAATAATTTAAAATTAAAACTATTTAGTTTTTTTACAGATTCTTTAAGACGAGAATAGAAAATCGGATTAGTTTATACGAAGTTTAATGTCACGTAGGAAAAATATTGGTGACTATTTCGACTTCTTTGTAACTCTACTATTTTTAGCTTACAACTTGATATTTTCTATACTTTCAAAATATGATAATGGGGACCACGGAGGTGATTTTAGTATATATTTTATAGATAATATTATAGATGATTAGAGATGGTTTTAGAAAATATTGCAGTTGTGAAATAGCTGTAGCTATTGAGTGCTGATACTAAGACACTGTAGTAATCTCCAAGATTTGTAAGAGATAATTTATACTTTAGATTTCTTACTGATATACGTTTGACTAGTAAGGCCTTGACTACTTGAGTAGTTCCTACTCATTTTCCATGAAAGTTATAGTACTTGTTCGTATAATTATTTACCTTGTCCATGTTATCCGTATGAATATTGAAGTTTTTTTTATTAAAAAAAGTTAGTATTCAATAGTTTAGTCGTGAAAAGACGACCAAAGGAACTAGGTTTGACCATCCGCATTAAGTATACCTACATTTATGAATATTGTCTTACAGTATTTACAGACTAATATCCAGGGTTCAAATCAACTAAATGATTATAAATGCGGGTACGCAAAAAATGTTTTAGTAATAGATTTATACAATAACATTTGTACAGACAGCAGTTTGTGATTTTTCAAACCATGGAAATATTAAATTATAGTTAACCAACAAAGTTAACATTTTTTTTTAGACACTTTTCGCGTGACGTTGACGATATAGGGAATGTCCAACTATTAATTGAACAAATTTAAAGAGGACGGTCGGATGATGGTGTTATATTCGTATGCTGAAATTTTAAATTTGTTAAAAATAAATCGAGAGAAGAACCAGAACGACCATGCGTCAACTGCATTTTCCACATTTTTTCAATATAACGATTTTAAATTTATTAAATTTAATTGGGTTGTAGGACACATACTGGCGTAATAAATTAAAGGGAGGGGGACCTAAAAACCCCAAAATCAATATTATCAATTTTCATATCTTTTTTTTTTTTTTACGAGAGTAAACTTACATAAATACATAACTAATTTATCCATATTATCTAATTGTGGTTATTTTTTTCA